GGTCTTAAAGTAACTGAGAAGAATTTGCTACCTTTCTATAATATCAAGAAACGAACAGAGATTCTAGTGTTCTCAGATAAGGACGAATAAACCGTAAGCCCCGCCTCTTGCAGGGTTAGAGGTAGGAGACGTTAATTTCCCACGCACGAGATTACTGTGTGGTGGATGTCCTCCCCTGGGGTGGGATGGGTGGAGGTAGGAGGTCCACATCAGCAAATTGCTGCCATTAACTAAACCTGCTCAGATAAATAAAGAGGAATGAATGAGAAACGTTTGCAATATTTTCGGGCGTGAGATGCGCAAAGGTGAAAAGCAAAGTGACCTCAGAGTTCGAATAGCCAGTCGGATTGCGCTTTTGATATTATCCACTGTTTTAGCTTACATACTAAATGACATAATACATAGCTTTAACAAACGCGCGTTCTGAGCTTACCCGTGGTTCTCACTGTTATATAAGAAATGGTTAGCGTGCAGCGTGCAGCCATCGAGTTATGCATGCATTTGTCGACACGTGGGAGGTTTGCTAACAACTCAAGAGGCCCTTCCACGTCTTACGCTCATTCAGTGCTTACCGCGTGCAGCCATAACTCGATGGGTGCACGCTGTACGCTAAAAATTTCTTAATTAATAGCGTAGTTCTAAAAGACCGAAGAAAGCTACTCAGTAACCTCATTCATTTGGCTGGGAAGTTCTTCCGGCTAAATCTTTTCGTTTAACAGATTTATGGCACGAAGCATTATACATGACCCCAAATGTTGCAGCTAAACCTTCTTTCTGTTTCCAGTGCAATAACATTCTGTATGCTTTTTCAGTGTATTCCTCATTTTCCATATGAAACGCCGTAAGCGTTGCTTCTTTGATGCCAAGACGAAGTCCAAGTGGTTTCCAGCCTTCAGTGATCTCTTGCGACAGCCACCCTAGATCTCCTTTTTTGGTCACTGTTTCTTTAACTGCAAAGATAAAGACAAAATTAAAACAAGCAATTCGAGTAAATAAATAACTTATTTCTCTTTCTCCTAAACTGTAGGAAATAACAAATCTTACCTCACTTTATTTACCCTACATAATTAGTATTAATCGCCTCATTCTCTCTTTTTATTTATCATTTTTTTATCTTTTTCCCTCTTTTAACTTCATTTAATTTTATTTATTTATTTACTTACTTGTTTACTTATTTCTCTTTTCTCTTTGTTTACAATATTAATTGTGTATAAATACCTTGGTTAGTGTAAATATAGAATTAAAGTAAAGTAAGTCTTGTGTAAATGTTAAGATGCACCAGTTAATTACACGTGACAGTGACCAACTCGAAAGCATACGCTCCTTTGGTCACTGTGCACATTTTACTTTAGATTATTCATGTAATTTACTGTTTCTTAAATGTTCTACTGTGACCTCTTGAAATAGTGCGAATAAATGAATGAACGAATGAATGAGTGTTAGCAACCTTTGTCAAATTTCGCTGAAACATCGCTACAGTTGCAATGTTTCCACATGTTTCTTTTTTTTTCAGTTATGAATTTAACATCGTAATTAAGTGATAGAATTGAAGAGTGCCACTCTTTCTGCATAAACGAATTTCACAGAGGATAACAACAAACGAACTTGAAAAAAATGCTGTAACAAAGAAAAAATCAACGCTATATTTTTTCAATCTCAACACTACCTTTAAATCAGCGTTTCCTTTTCTTAGTAGCTGAATCAAGACTTCCTGGCGATGACTTTACGTTTGGATGCTTTTCACTTGAATGCTGCACACTTTAGGGGTAATACCTGCATAATGGTATAGCTGAGTTAAGAACAAATGCATGTTTTGAGTTAACTAGTGAATGTGGCGAAAGGTTTAAAAACGATCTAATGATGTATTATCTTGTATTGTGATCGTCTGGGTGAGACCCGCTCTGGACAACTTAGAGCGGTACGTCTTAACAGTTTGTTTTCTGATCAACAAAGAGTAAAATCTGTCAAATAATTATCAGAAGGGGGCTGCTATTGTAAAAGAACTTTTACCGAAGGATACACTGAAAATAAATTTTAGAATGCATAGTATTCTGACAGTTTTGGTTACTCCAATATTTTTAAGATATAACAAATGATATAACCATATTCTAGAGAATGAAAATTTTAATGTTTTTTTGTAAATCGTTTTGCGCTTTGGTCATTTCGTGTATCAAGTTCCTAACAAGGAAAGATATACCTAAAGAGAAGCTGTCTTTGCCATAATGGTGGCGGCCGAGTGAAGACTAAAACTAGTGCATGGGGACGAGGCCACCCGGACATGGATTTGTGCACTTGTGAGCGCTTTTCCAAAAGTTTTTGCCGCAATTCATCAATCCAAAAAGCTTTATTTCTTAAAGGATCGACTACTAGTATAGCTAAGGCTCAAGATATGTACAATGCCATGCCACTACTGTGTTCCTTTATCTATTACTAGGTGATATCGCGACGGAAATGTTTCAAATATATTACTTCAAGTTTCCCAAAGAAAACTCGCGAGAAAGCAATGACTTCATGCTATCCGTCGTGAGGAAGGAAAAAACTTCAAAGTCTTCGACTCGACCATGGTCTTCTCGCAACATTTTGAAAAGAAAGACTCGAAGAAAACTATTGCGGGCAAAATATGCCTTCAAACCAATGCTGTACCTTCGGTATTTCAGTGGCGTACTTCGCCGTGCAAAAGGACGCCTCCACCTCAAAGACTCATTAGTCAAGCAACTACTCATCAATCATCCAGTGCTTTATTCACGGTGTGCACAAAAAGCAGGGTAAATGATAAATCAATGAACAGCTAGAGAGTCAGATTATAATTGTAGAATCTAATGAAAACAACGTCGAAAATGGGGTAAAAAGAAAAGATGTCGAAACTCAGACCGATTTGGTCGAGTCGAAGGAGGCATGCATTCAGACTGATCAGAGTATTGTCGCGCTTGTGAAACAATATGAAATGAGAATAGAAGAGCTCCAAAGGGAAATAGAAAACATTTCAAAGAAGAATGAACGTTTAAAAATTGGCTTTTTTCTATTGAAAGATTTCGCGCCGAAAATTCTGCTGTGTCCTTCTACACTTCGTTTCCTAACAACTGTTTTAATGAAAATCTACAATTATCTAGACCGCCAGAACATGTTGTATGATTGTTTCATTCCGCTGTAGTAAACAGAGGCATCTTCTGAGGTGAGTAGCCCCACATCATGAGATTCTGGGAACTTGACGGGAACATGTCGTTTAGCGGTGGAGTGTGAACTTGTGTTGGTTGTCGAGCGTAGTTGTATTCGTTTAGAATAAAGATTGTTGGGATCAGGATCAATGATGTTTTTATCCTTTCCACTCTAGATGTATTCAAAGACCCTAGAGTTTAAGATCTTAGGTCAATTTAAGTGTAAGGAATCACAATTGACAATTTTCTCAAGCAATCAAAACATCTCGAAGTATGCATCTTGTGCTCGAAACTAACCTTTTCACAAGCTCTGCTTTTGTCTTTAAACCTTTCGTTGTGTCACCTCTGCACTTCAACCAGATTGTCAAGTACTCAGTCTTCAATTGTGAGGGATTTCTTTCTCCCAAGGAAGCTCCAGGAATGTCATTTTCGGTGAAAAAGCTGAAAGAATTGTGAGTTTGTAGTCGCGTCAGACGCCATATGTGTTGCCCGGGTGGCCTCGCTTTCGTGAGATTATTCATAACCAGTCTCAGACCTCCATCGGATTTTCCGCCATTATGGCCAAGGTGTCGAAACAACTCAAGATGATGCAACTTACCACTCTTTCGAGGTCCACTCTCTTCAGATGACAAATTCCAGTTCTATGCATATTTTCAAGAAATACTGCAGCGTTTTTACAAAATAAAAAAAGAAACTTACCATTAGAACTTTGGTTACAATGAATATATGAAGTTCATATATTTTGAACTGCGGTATTAAATACGTATGATGCACGATCCTTCGCAGTAGATAGCGCTATTTATGCAATAGCGAAAATCAGACCTGAAAAAATCCAGGCCTGTACGGAATTCGAACCACTGACCTCTGCGATACTTAATTTAATTTAATCACTTTCACCAGAGTATGGTGAGGGTCGCACAACAGA